AGGTTATTGAAAATACCATGGCTTGGGTCAGGCGCACCTTAGGCCTCAAGCTGACATCTTTGCTCTTCGACACTTTAAAGGTTTTTTCACAAAGACCCTACTGATCAGTAATCAGTACTAGATATATAGATTTTTCTAATTTAATTCTCTTTATGCTTAAAGTGTATCCTATTGTTGGTTTGTTTGGTTAAGGAGATTGCTTTTGCTAAATATTGATAATTAATGAAAAACAATTAAGACAAACCTTTGATAAACTATAAAACCACTTTCAAATGTTAATTTTTGGGAATACCAGTGTGGCAATGTAGGATAATGAATGGGCTGATAACCGAAAGGTCGGCAATTCAACCCCACCAGCCGCTCCTCGGAAGCACGATACAGGGTTGCTATGTGTCGGAACCAACTTGATGGCACTTAATAACAACAACCTGTAAATAGAGTCAGTGAAATTCACATCAGGTTCTTCAGAAATGAAATGTTTGTTCCCTATGCCTTTTACTTTGCAATAGTTTGAATAACTTTTTATGTTTTTGTTCTGATTTTATTTTTTAATATTTCAGGCACACATTGTATAACAGCACTTCTGACCAAAACAAGTTCTCAGGCTCCTTCTAGCTTCCACCACGGCCGTTTTGTGGCCCCTACCGCTTTCTTCTTAACCTCCTCCACATTACTAAAAAATTCATTCACTCAGTCATCATTTCAGTGAATTGTTAAAAGAAGCAGGTGAGAGCCTGCTCTATTAGACAGGGTTCCAGTAACTAGAACTACAGATTCATCAAGACAGCAGAGTGACTTCAGTAGAGAAACAGCACCAACATACAGAATACATGCCCACACATGTCATACTAATGAGCATGCACATGTGTGTGTCATGCCAGTGAGCATGCATACACATGATCCAACACAAGACAGTGAATTTGTACAGATGTCTACCACAACAGATAGTGAACTAACCCGATGGTCGTGCATACCTGCCTACTACACCAAACGGAGCACTCACATGCGTGTTCATACCAGACACTCATTAGTGTTGTACAGAAACTCATTGCAGGGGAGGACATCCTGTGTGTGAAAGGACACAGTACGGCAGAGGTGCCTGGGACAGCTGCCTCACGTTACTCATGAGCAGGTGGACTGAGACATTCAAATAGCTGTGGGCAGAAGACTTGGGTGCAGAAAGCAATGCATGCAACTTCATGAGGCAGGCAAGAGGGTGTTTGAGAAACAGCCAGGAGACCCCTGCTGAACCAGCGGGTGAGGGGAGCAGAGGAAAGAGGGACAGACCCACACCCATGGCCATGAGTCCATTCCTACTACTAGCAACACTGTGTAGGGTTTCCAAGGCGGTAAATCTTTATCAGAGCAGAAAGCCTCATCTTTTTCTCATTGAACAGCTGGTGGGTTTGAACTTCCAACTTTATTTTCCAGCAACACCAAAGCTCCTATAGAGACAGAAATGGGGAAACTAGGGTCTGAAATTGATGCTACAATATTAGGGTTTGTCCTGAGAGTGGGGAAAACCTCTGGGGATGAGGGAGGAGGCTTTGGTTAGACTCTAGGACCAAGATGTGATTGGGGATCCACTTGGGAACTACTTCAGCACCCAGGTGAGAGGGGAGTGGTGGACAAAGTCTGCATGAGATGTAATTTGAAACAGAACTTCCTATCGCATTTCAGCTCGAGGATGCCTGGGGGAGGTGAGTCAGGTGTGAGCAGGAGGAACATAGCCTGACAAAGGACACGTGTGTACTTTATAATTTTTGGAAAACGAGAGAGATACAAGTGAGCAGGAACTAGTGTCCTTTAGTCAGTGGACCAGGGCCAGTCCTATATTGTCCACACTTGAGTCCCAGATATGGGTTTCCAGATTGCTGAAGAAGATGCAATGGTTAAGGATGGAGGGAAAAGTAACCCTATAAAGGAGGACTTGGTGGAGTCAGAGCCTGTGTTCTGATCCTAAGAGGAACTCTTTCCACAAAGCAGACAGCAGACCGTCCTTTCTCCACTGACTCTGATGGAAAACTTTCTCTTCCAGGAGAACCAAAGGCAGAGATCCATCCATGTCCTCCCTGCCCTCTGGTCTTGTCTGGACAGAAATTCCTCCATCAACAAGTGCAGCACACCCATCCCTCTCAATCCTCTCCAAGAACTCCTTCGGAGAAAGACCTTCACCTAGAGCACTGCCATCCAGGGGATGGGAAGGAGCCGCATTCTAAGCAACTCTCCATGAATGACAGAGCAGAAGGTCTAGAGATGGGAGATGGGTCCAAAGCCATGTTTGAAAGGACAAGACAGGGGGCCATTTTAAAGACCTTCATTAGTCTACCCAAAGATCAAATGGGGAGTTCTAGGGAGGCTAACAGAATGACGCAGACAGACGCATGCCCAGGCCAGAGAATGAATGCTGAGGACACAGGCAAATTATTCCCGGGGAAAGGAATCCCAAGAATTGCAAAAGTTATGTGTAGAGAGTGTGGGCAAGGCTTTAGTGCTAAGTCAAGCCTTATCACACACCTGAGGACACACTCCGGGGAGAAGCCCTATGTCTGCAGGGAGTGTGAGCGAGGCTTTAGTCAGAAGGCATACCTCACTAAACACCAGAGGACACACTCAGGAGAGAAGCCCTATGTCTGCAAGGAGTGTGGGCGAGGCTTTAGCCAGAAGTCAGACCTCATTAGACACCAGAGGACACACTCAGGGGAGAAGCCCTATGTCTGCAGGGAGTGTGGGAGAGGATTTAGTCAAAAGTCACTCCTCACTGTACACCAGAGGACACACTCAGGAGAGAAGCCCTATGTCTGCAGGGAGTGTGAGCGAGGCTTTATTCAGAAATCACACCTCATTACACACCAGAGGACACACTCAGGGGAGAAGCCCTATGTCTGCAGGGAGTGTGGACGAAGCTTTAATCAGAAGTCATACCTCATCAGACACCAGAGGACACACTCAGGAGAGAAAGCCTGTGTTTGCAAGGAGTGTGGGCGAGGCTTTAGCCAGAAGTCAGACCTCATTATACACCAGAGGACACACTCAGGGGAGAAGCCCTATGTCTGCAGGGACTGTGGGCGTGGCTTTAGTCAGAAGTCAGTCCTCATTGTACACCAGAGGACACACTCAGGAGAGAAGCCTTATGTCTGCAGGGAGTGTGGACGAGGCTTTAGTCAGAAATCACACCTCATTAAACACCAGAGGACACACTCAGGGGAGAAGCCCTATGTCTGCAGGGAGTGTGGACGAGGCTTTAGTCAGAAATCAATCCTCATTAGACACCAGAGGACACACTCAGGGGAGAAGCCCTGTGTCTGTAAGGAGTGTGGACGAGGCTTTAGCCAGAAATCAATCCTCATTATACACCAGAGGACACACTCAGGGGAGAAGCCCTATGTCTGTAGGGAGTGTGGACGAGGCTTTAGCCGTAAGTCAGTACTCACTATACACCAGAGGACACACACAGGGGAGAAGCCCTATGTCTGCAGGGAGTGTGGACGAGGCTTTAGTGAGAAGTTACACCTCATTAAACACCAGAGGACACACTCAGGGGAGAAGCCCTATGTCTGCAGGGAGTGTGGGCGAGGCTTTAGTCAGAAGTTACTCCTCACTGTACACCAGAGGACACACTCAGGGGAGAAGCCCTATGTCTGCAGGGAGTGTGGACGAGGTTTTAGCCGTAAGTCAGTCCTAACTGTACACCAGAGGACACACTCAGGAGAGAAGCCCTATGTCTGTAGGGAGTGTGGGCGAGGCTTTAGTCAGAAGGCATACCTTATTAAACATCAGAGGACACACTCAGGAGAGAAGCCCTATGTCTACAGGGAGTGTGAGCAAAGCTTTATTCAGAATTCATGCCTCATCAGACACCAGAGGACACACTCAGGAGAGAAACCCTATGTCTGCAGGAAGTGTGGGCGAGGCTTTATTGAGAAGTCAGTCCTCACCGTACACCAGAGGACACACTCAGGGGAGAAGCCCTATATCTGCAGGGAGTCTGGGCGAGACTTTGGTGATAAGTCACCTCATTGGACACAGGAGAACAAAATACTGCCGACACACACCTCCATCTCCCCAGCTTTGAGATGCTTCAGAGCAAGTCCCCAAGAGAGTGAAGGGCACAGAAACAAGTGGGTAAGTAGGTCCTCCATTTTCGTGTCAAGGGAAGATGTCGAGAAACCCCAAGGGTTCCTGAAGTGGGCAGGTGGTTCTGCCAATCCTCTCCCATGATGCTTTAGTCTTTTATTGCTTTCACACAGAGCTGTAGTCCAAGCCACATACCTTACTCCCTCATCAGAGAAGACACAGAGAACTCATGTTCTCAGCCCAGATTTCCACAACACTTTGGTCC